ACGGTTCGAGTCCAGGCCTAGCTGCCTGTGAGACACACTCTGTGTGTGTGTGTGTGTGTGTGTGTGTGTGTGTGTATGTATGTATGTGTGTGTGTTTATGCCCAAAATCCTGGAAGGAGGGAGAAAGGAGAAGGGATTGTGGTGTGAACATTCCCCACGCGGAGGGTGCTTTTTCACTTTCCCCCCTCTCTGTCTCTCTCTCTCCCCGCAGCTAACACATGCACTCTCTGGCAGAAACAAGAGAGAGAAGAGACGAGACCTCTGGGGGACGTAATGTTCTGTGAGTCAGTCCCACAGGGGTGTGTTCTGGGTTGGAGCCTGGAGACCTCCCTGAGCATGCCAGGCACACACCTGCCCACAATCTGGGGCTGGTTGAGGGTTGCCTGGGTCATGGCATCAAGATCCTGTTGGGTGTGGCACTCCCTCTCTCTCTGGCTTGCTAGTGGAAGAAATAAAGCTTAGGGGGAGTGAAGATGTCCCTCTTTGTTCCCTCCGTGTGTGCTTCCAGTCTGTGCCAAAGGCATCTTTGTCCTGGTTTGCACACTGCGTGGACTGGAATCGAAGTCTCTCTGGATCTCTAAATTCCTCCTCACCAGCTGCCCGCCTCCTGGCACCCTGACCTCATCTGGCTGTGCCCATGGGTCCAGCAACTCTGTGGCTCAGGACTGAGGCCTCGGGCTGCCGACTGGGATGCAGGGTTCCTGCCCATCCTGGGACGACTCAGCCACAGCCCTTCTTTGGTCGTCTGCCCAGGTCGGTGGTGTAAGGCTCATGTAAGCGCTCAGTCCTTCCTGTCCTGGGTGCGGAACCACCCCCCTCATTAAATGCCCCCCAGCCAGACTCACAACCAGCCACAGCTTGACAAGAGGCCGCAGCTTTGCAGGCAGCAGGTGACAACAAATAGCCACGAGCTGGGAAGGTAGACCAGGAGCCCTTTCTCTCACCTTCAGCTCCTGGGAAAGGTTATCTGCACAACCCAGGCCCCTGGAGGCATCTGGGCTTTGAGAACCAGGCAGGCTGATTATCATAAGAAAATAATCTCTGCGACTCAGTCCTCGGTTGCAGCGGGGGACAAAGACACAACCTCAAAGGCAATTTCACGCAGTCCCTGTGCCTCAAGGCTGCCGCCCAGTGTAAGCTGAACCCCTGTGCTGACAGCCGGCTGAGTGGCCTGGGCAGGACTGTATGCACAGAGGGCTGGTGAGGACACAACTGGGTGGACACAGCCATCATGCACACTCCTGGGCCGTCAGCTGCCCGGGAGATGCCGGAATCCCTTCCCCATCCAGCTGTCTTTCAATTCTCTCCAAGCAGCCACAAGGACGGCTGCCCACGGGCCAGTTGCAGAGTCACGAGACCCCACTGTTGCAGTGTCTGCCCCACTGTGTCTGCCTCAAGTGGCTTTGTGGTCTGTGAGCTGTGTCCTGCACCGAGGAGTCCAGGGGTACTGGCTCTGGGCTGCCCCTCTGGGGACATCAAAAGCCTCCCCACCAGCAGTGACACCTGTGCCCTCCCCACGAACCAGTGCTTATGATGCCTTCGTGGACAGAGGACTGGCCTCCAAGTGCAGACCTACCCCGAGAGCACAGAGCTGAGCCAGGTCAGACAAGTGTCCTGGGGTGATGTGGCATGCAGGGAGCAACGCTGGCCCACTGCCACACCTCTCACACCCGTCAGCCTCTGAGCTAGTCCTCACAGAGACCTTGAGATCTCATCACGCCTGCAGACAGAGCATGGTCCGTTCCCGGGTCTGTGGAGCTGGCTATTTGCTGGAGGAGCAGCTCCGACCTGGAAAAGCTGTGGGCCGATGCTGCTGTGCTTTCCTCAGAGCCACCTCCTGGGCTGTAGTCTCTTGTGACTCATAAGCTGCATCTTTTAGATTTTGTCCTTGGTTGTAGTAGAGTGCTAAGTAGTTCCAAGAGCATGCAAGCTGTGAACAATGATGAGGCCTCTCTGGACACGTAAGCTCCATTATAAACTGCTCCAGGGTGATAGAGCAGGTAGTTGTGTAGACAGTGCCCTTGGTGGGCAACTCATGGCAATTCCCTCTCCACCCATGGTCCCCCTGCGCCTTCTTCCACACTATGGTTTGGAGTCACCTACCTGCTATCTCCACCCAGCCCGCTCAGCCAAGCCTAATAGGCCCCTGAAGCTCAAGAGATCCCACATTGATGGATTGTGCCCCAGCAGCGGTCAGGTCTCCAGGCCAGTCTCCAGACCTTCACTGGCGAGCCCTGCAGGGCAGCACTCCAGCTCCCTCTGCTCTCCCTGACTTTGCTGCCTGGCGCTGGCCGGCTGACCCAAGGACAGTGCACTAAATGCAAGGAAGCAAACACAGCACCTCACCACAAGGGAGCCTGGAACTATCAAGAAGGGTCAGAATCCACTAGGAGCTGAATTGCAGGGTGTGGTCTGCTGCATGGATGCTGATGGTAATGGCACCAGGGACTTCCCAGAGTTCTTGACTTTGAGGGTTAGGAAAATGAGAGACAGTGAAGAAATCGTGAGACACCCCAAGCCTTTGACTTGGCAACGGTTGGATGGCAATAATTACTTACATCAGTGCAGCGGAACCACATCACATTATGACAAACTTAGGGGAAAAGCAACAGATGAAGACGTGCATGAAATCACAGAATCAGATTCTGGTGGAGATGGCTAAGTCAACCATGGAGACTGTACAGATGACAACCGCAAAATGAAGATGTCTCAGTCCACTTGTGCTATTGTAACAGAATACCTAAGACTAACTTATAAATAACAATTCTTTGCTCATAGTTCTGGAAGCTAAGAAGTCCAAGATCAACACACTGGCAAGTGTCTGCCGAGGGCCCCACCTCTGCTTCCAAGATGGCACCTTCAATGCTGTATTCTCTGAGGTAACATAGTCACAGCAGACTCATGGCAGAGGGATGGAAGGGCAAAAAGGGCTTAGCTTGTTCCCTTTAGCTCCTTTGTAAGGTTGTTAATTCATTCATGGGGGTGGAGCCCTGATGGCCTAATTACTTCCTAAAGGCCCCACCTCCTAATACTGTCACTTTGGCAAATACAGTCTCATGTATGGATTCTGGAGGCCGCTTTCAGCACACAACAAAAGTCCTACTTTCAACTCCTTCTCCCACTTACAGAAGAATCAAATCGCACCTTTTACTTCTTTCAAGAAAATTGTTCTCTTATTCATTCTGCTTCTTTCTAGTAAAGCTGAGTGTCAGACGTTCCTTCTGTCCTCACACGCAATCTGCATGTATTGGCTGGTGGTCTTTTACTTACACATACTAGCTGCAGCCAATGATAAGGAGGCGCTTCCTGGACTTGTTAACACCAACGGTTCATACCCTGTCAGGGCCAGTTTTTCACACGTGCCTCTTAACGATGGAGCAGTCAGGAATTTATATGAACAGTGGAAGCTAAAAAGAAGATTCAAAAACTATTTGAATGGATCTTGTTCAATTTGTTAGTATAAACTGTCAGAGCTGGTTTACTGACAATTGACACTTACCTCAGGACTCATAGAAATGGGCTAGCCCACTGTAGGATGGCACGCCATGCCTGCATGTGCCCAACACATAGTGACAAGGACACCTAATCATGGCCACACGTTAGCTCAGTGTTGTCTGCACTGGAATAAGCCACGTCAGGCTGTCAGGGTCCACTTGTTTAAGAAGCCTCTATTAAGGGTGCATCCTTGCACTCTGCTTTAAAGCCTCTGGAACCACAACTTGCAGGCCATGGCCGTGAACATCAGCAGGACCACTGGCGCTGCTATTGAAGACATTAGGGTTAAGTCCATTCCGACTGTAAATGCGGTCTTTCCTTAATTAAAAAAAAAAAAGACCATCAACTTAAAAACAAAACCACTCTCACTCCCAATGTTCAGACCCAGCAACTCCCTCCAGGGGCACAGCTGGCACCCAGGCCCTGTTAAAGTACATTTGATCAAACGCAGCTAGTCTGAGTGCATTGTTTAACAAGTAGCTGAACCTCAGCCAATCACAGGCTAACTGCTCAGACCATGACCACCTAAGGCAGCCGTTCCACTTTGGCCAATCTGGCAGTTTCTGGGCTCGTTCCTTGCTATCTGTAAATGAGGCCTCCCAAAGTTGCTGGTGGAGCTCTCAGAACCTCTCCTAGCTCAGGGAGCCCTCCATTCACAAACTGTTTTTGGCTCAAACGACTACATTTACTATGTCTAAAGTCCTCCCTTTAATTCTCTCCACCATCATATCTCACCTGGACAATGACACCTTGCTCTGCTCCGACTGCAGGACCTTCCCCACCCTACCTCATCCTGAGATGTGACCTCCCACCCGTGCCCTCCTGAGGCACCCCTGGCCTGGCTGCCCCATCATATTAGCTCCTTTCTGTCCTGGGCATAAGCTCATGCCCCTTGGGGCCTTGGCATTCACCATTCCCAAGCGCTGGCTACTGTGCTGTGTGGAGACCAGGGCTCGCTTGGCTTGCTCATCCATGCTACAGCCTCACAGGCAAGCCCCTTCTCTAGTTCCCCAGGCATTTCCCACCATCTATCACAATGTCCTTTTACCGGCAGGTCCTTTCCTGCCAGAATGTAAACCCCATGCAGGAACATTTGCCAGCGCAATACCAGAGACTGGCAGTTTCCAATTTTTCTACATGGAATT